GCAAATGAAATGTTTGGGAATGTGAACATAACTTTCCATGGTTATATTAAAACTCACTGGTTGCTCTCTAGCTCAAGTAAAAAAAAAGACGAGCCCTAACTCTCTGGTATTTTGGTCAGTAGATATGGCTCATATCATCCTTTTACACCTGATTTATCATTGTTACATGCAGGTTTAATAAGTGGGCCCCTTAGTGGGGTTTATGTCTCCACAACATTTTCTTTGAGTTGTCTTGATGCACATTTTTCTCCAGCTCATTTTCTCTTGTTTAACCTGCCTGAAAGGAATAGTTCCCACCAAAATTAAAATTAGATTTAAATTTACCCACCCTCAGGCCATCCAAGAAGTCAATGTTTCTTCATCAGAATAGATTTGAAGAAATGTAGTCACTTGCTCACCAATATATTTTCTGTAGTGAATGGGTGCCGTCAAAATGAGAGTCCAAACAGCTGATAAAAACATCATCATAATCCACAAGTAATCCACACGACTCCAGTACATGAATTAGTAAAAGTGAGTTAGTAAAAGTGAAAAGCGGCATACAAAAATCCATTGTTAAAGCGTATTAACTTTAAACTGTCACTTCTGGCCAAAATATCAGCCATAATAATTCATAATAATAACGCCTTTCTCCAATGAGGAAGTCCATCCCTTGTTGTCCACTCACATCAAAATGCAACAACCTGTTTGTTTAGAACTGTTTTGGACTGGTTTCACTTATAAACTGTGTTTGATCTGTGCATATTTCCTGATGAGACGACTTTTTCAATGGCAATATTATGGTTGGAGGACCCAACATTATGGTATTATTATGGTAGCCGGAAGCAACAGTTTGAAGTTAAAAAACGTCTTGATGGATTTGTTTCTTTCAAACACACCGCTTTTCACTTCACAAGATGTTAATTGATGCACTGGAGTCATGTGGATTATTGTGATGTTTTTATCAGCTGTTTGGACTCTCATTTTGACCAGGGTTTCCACGGGTGCTTTAAAAAGTCTTAAAAGTTGTTAAAAAGTTGTATCAATTTTAAGGCCATAAAAAGTCTTAAATAGTACAAGAAAGTCTTAATTATGATTTCAAGAGGTCTTAAATTTGGGGAAGGAAAGACAAGAATTGCGATATGGCTTAAGTGACGATTAAACTTATAAAGGCTATGATTTCATTAAAGAAACATTAAGTGCTGTAGTTTCAAAGTCACCTGCTGCGCTGCTTTATGTTCTAAAGTTACTGGGGAAACCACTATATGTCTGCCATTGCAAAAGTGCCTCCTGCTGGCAGAGAATGAATTTACATTTTCAATAAGCGCGTCTGCTGTTTTTGTTCAAACCAATGCGGAATTCAACCCATGTTTTTACGCAGCAAACACGCAGAGTTGTAAATGTGAACTGGTGGATCGAAAATAGGACTATTCATTATAAAAATCTAAACAATTAAGACAGCAAAATATGCATTTCCTTAAATGAGAAAATTTTGTATATGAACTGTAAATCATGTTTTTTACAGTCATTTTACAGTTTAATATGTTCCCATTAGACATTTAATATTTTACCATAGACATTGCCCTATCACGCTCGTATGGTATTCATTTTATTTGTGCAATTAAAATAAAATATTTATTTTATTCACTGCAGCGGATCCATTTCAAGTGATGTAATGCTATTTCTCCAAATGTGTTCCAATGAAGAAACAAACGTATCTACATCTTAGATGGCCTGAGGGTGTATACATTTTTAGCAGATTTTCCTTTCTTTTTTTAAAATTTTTTTTTGCTAAATTATTCCTTAAAAGGCCTAAGTGTAGGTTGCAACACCATGTGAGAGTCATAAGTTTTATATAAAAAGTATTTATTTTAATTTGTATACTCATTCATGTCTCAGGACAAGTTATAAAGTGTAATACTTAATGTTAGGGGTTAAAACAAGCATTAAGTATGCCAACTGTTACTTAAGTATAAGCAATCACCCTTAGCAAGCACCTCTAATTAAAATTCCCAAACCTGAAGGCTGATTCACAATCAAACAGAAAAGTGACTGGGGAACCAGTTGACTGCTGTTTGAAGCACAATCTGATTAGCGATTAGTTTTGTTAAGCTAAAAAATTTAAAATTCTTTGGTTTTGTGTGGTTAATCAGAAAGGCCTTTTCTTGCTGCAGTGTAGGATTTCAGCCACTCAATTTTAACTTCAGTCAGCACATTCATTATAATGAGAAAAGGCCAACATCAGTTTTACAGAGAAAAGAGAAAATGAGATTGTAAACTGCCTTCAATAAACCAACGCTTTAATTAAAACACTACAGGTTTGTTAACCCAATGCAGAGTGCTTGGAAAGGGTGTCTGTATCTGCAAGTGTTTAAAAAAGTGTTTTTTGAATTCTTAAAATGCACATTAATGTATGAATTTTATTGAATCAAAAATATAAAACCAAGTGGCATTTTCAAATAAAGTAAGCTTTTCTCAGAACTGACTTTACTTCTTTTGCTGTTTTGCAATAACTTTTAACTAACTGCTTTCAAGGTGAAAAGTAACACTTCACAACATTTCACTAAAAGTGTCCTAATTTTTGTCTTACATTTGAACAATATATTTTGTATTATCTTTTAAAATCTAACATTTTTGTGAAATGATTTATTTGAAACTGCACACTTAATGAATTTTATCATCTGCAACAAATTATGATTTTCTCAGAACTTTTGTATTTATTTATTTTGCTGTCTCACTTTTGAACAATATGTACTGTTTTATCTTTTAAAGCTTTTTTTGTGAAATGATTCTTTATTTTTTATTTTTTAAATGCCACTTGGTTTGATCTATATCTAATCCACATAAATTCCAAATACTTTTCAGGCCCTTTTTTGTTTATGTGTGTGTGTGTCTGATTTTTGCATGTACTGACAAGGATGTTGTGAATCTACATCTCAATACTTATTCATGAAAGTTTAGAAGGCCTATACAGTTCGGTGGCCTCTGCCAAACTCTATAGCACTAATAGAAATCATTGCCATCAGCCATGTGTTTAAATATGTTTATAGTCTCAACCGCCAAAGGCTACTGCCTGCGCTCCAAGCACACATGACTGCAATTAGCATAGAAAAAATACAGGCTGTGAAAAATACTGTCGCTAAGTGTTAGTCTGAAATCCATTTGCACTTAACAGCGTGCGCAGCGTGCTGGTGTGCGAAAAATAGTTACTAAATAATGCTGCTTCGGATGCGTATCAAGTCACCGGGTTCGCAGAGCGGGTGCGACCGTCACACCATCCCTACGGGTTCAATGGAATTAGCGCGAATTCTCCTCACACATCACGGATCAGAAGGCGCGCGCGGCGTGGATCATGACTGGCCATTACCATCACTTAATCGGCGGTTGAGTCTTGATTAGAAGAATGGAGGCGACAGAGAACCCCCACGGAGGAAAGAGGCAAACAGATCCACTATCCGCCCGGCCCGGAGAAAGCAGTAGGACACGAGGCTCTTCTCGGAAAACCTGACGTCAATGCGCACACGCATGAGGCAGTGTGAACCAAACCACCGTCAATTAATGTCTTTGCCCTGGGCGAATAGGTTACCCACTTGAAACCAGCACAGGAATCTGCCCTAGGAATATGATTTCTGTGCAATTTTAAATGAATTTCTATTTCTTTATTCTTATTTTTTATTTCCTGTGCATCTTTTATGACTACAATAGCCTAAACACGTTTTGATAAAGCAATATAACAAGAGTGTGTTATGGCATCAGTTGATTTAAGGAGGCAGCACAATTGTGCGATATGCTTTTAAAGTTCAATAAACAAAAATGTAATAGTCCTATTGTGTAACTTTATAGAGACAGTATTTACGGTTAAGTTCCAAACAAACCCCAACAGATCCGTTCATGAATGATTCATTGATTTTGAACTGAATCAGTTGCATTTATGATTCAATGAAACGCTATTTTAAATAATAATATAATATCACTATTTTGGTTCCTGAATGAATCAGTAGTTTGAGTGAATCGGTTGAGTGACTGTTTTCTTTCCTCACATTTCCTTACATTTGTAAACGAATCAGTTGAACAATGATTCAAAGTCTCACTCATTAAAGGGTTAGTTCACCCAAAAATGAAAATTCTGTCATTAATTACTCACCCTCATGTCGTTTCAAACCCGTAAGACCTTTGTTCATCTTCGGAACACAAATTAAGATATTTTTGATGGAATCTGAGAGCTCTCTGACCCTCCATAGACAGAAACACAGCTGAAATGTTCCCAAGTCCAGAAACGTAGCAAGGAGATCGGTAAAATAATCCATGTGACATCAGGGGTTCAACCGTAATTTTACGAAGCTACGAGAATACTTTTTGTGCGTAAAAAAAAAAAAAGACTTTATTCAACAATTCGTCTCCTCCACATCACCCTGTAGGTAATGACAGAATTTTCATTTTTGGGTGAACTATCCCTTTAAGATTCACTAAAGCCACTTGTCGCCACCTACTGGCGTAATTATGTAACTCGCACAAATAGTCACTGAAAAATCCCCACAGACTTCTTGTTAGAATGGAGGAGAGGAACTAACTGTATAATTATCTTTATATTCTGAGGGTCTTTTTTCATAACCCACAGGATATATTGTGATAAGATCGTCTCTCCCTTTCATTCACACTCTGTTTGCTAAACCCTTTGCTGTGTTAATGATATATTTCCCTTCAACTAAACTTTTCAAAAACTCTTAGTTGGTATTTTTATAGTTTTGTAAGTGATTTCAGATTTTTTGTGGGTATGAGTCAATATAGGCAAATTCTAACAAACACAGAGACAAAATACAGTATGTGTGTGGGGTTGGAGTGACGATTGCAGGTTAAATCGATCATTAATCCTTTTCACCTCCAGTAGGATTCACGCCCCTAATCGGTGTCATCTTTTGTAACTCAGCATCACTCGAGCGCACGCGGAGGAAACCCCCCTCTCGTCCTGACGTCAGGCGAATCGTTTAAAAGGCAACTTTGGAGGAATGAGCTGCAACAGAAGGAGCAAAGAGATAGAAGAGGCGACTTACAACTAGCGCAGCGCTACCCGACGCATCTCTCTCCTTTTAATTTCCCACCAAATCAATACTTTCAAAGATGCTCTCCACGCGTATCCAGTGCGCACTGGCGCTCCTGTCCCTTGCGCTCACAGTCAGCAGCGTCTCAGCAGCACCGACAGACGCCAAACTCCGCCAACTTCTGCAGAGATCTCTCCTCAACCCGGCTGGAAAACAGGTAAACTAAAACCTACATAAATTACTAGTTTTAGTAATTTTATGTGTGTTATAAATGACTTTATATTGAATCATAAAATGACAGCAAACAAACTAAAATCACTGTCCATGGTGCTGAAATCTACGAAAGCATCTACATCTTGAGACTAAAGTTCTACAATTCAGGTCGTTTGAACTTGCACAATGTTGATTATGATTAATATAAGCTCACGCAAACATAAACTAATGATCATGCAAACATTAGGAATCAGAAAAGGCAAAAAAGAAAAAAAAAGACAATATATCAATATATATATATATATATATATATATATATATATATAGCCTAGCGTTAAACACTTAAGACAGTGCATTTTAGCCTACATATAAAACGGAAATAAATTCAGATAACAATAAATGGCGGTGGTCAGACAGTCTGACTTAAAAGATTTCTGAAGAGCAAATTATGACAGTTGCAAACTTCGGCTTTATTCAACACAACGCTTAACAATTCGATGTAAAACTAAATCAGTGCCTAAATTTTTAGACAGGCATTCGCTTTGTGCAAACGTTCATTTCGATTTTTGTTTCTTCACTTGAAATTTTTTTACTATACTGTCACTAGGGCGGTACTCTTTTAAAAGGTGTTAATATGCATCATTTAGGAGTAAATAAGGTACAAATATGTAACTTGCAGCTTTTGTACCCTAGGGTACCAACTCAGTGACAGCTTTGGCAACAAGTATGCAAACATACTAAAGTCCCCCCCCTCTTAATTTCTTCAGGAACTCGCCAGATACACACTTGCAGACTTGCTCTCGGACCTCGTGCAAGCAGAAAACGAGGCGCTGGAGCCCGAGGATCTGTCCCGCGCTGCTGTGGAGAAAGATGACGTCCGTCTGGAGCTCGAGCGCGCTGCCGGTCCCATGCTGGCACCTCGCGAGCGCAAAGCCGGATGCAAGAACTTCTTCTGGAAAACTTTCACGTCGTGTTAATTTCTCACCGCGAAGCGTTTCCTTTTGACTTATTCTTTTTTTATTCCTTCATATTTATTTTTTTTCCGTCTTTCACGTATTCTTCATCATATCTAAACTGTATATAAGAAAATAAAAGCGACTATATTTGTCGTTTAACAACGATGATAGCTCTAATTGACTATGTTTTTCAAGGCTGTTGATGTGTCATTGGAAAGAATGTTTTGCGGATGTATGCGAATCTGCTTTTAATTGTACTTCAGCAGATATCACTATTTTTAATTGTTTGTTTGAATAAAATCTATGTTTCAGAGCCAATGCATATTGCAACTTTGTCCCACCAACTTAAACACATACAGACCTCTTCATACAACACTGATAACACTGACTTTTATAGTGTGTAAAAGTCAAAGGCATGGGAAAAAAAAGTCAAAGAGGTCTCCTCTTTCCAGAAGGAAGATGTTTTTTTGTTGTTGTTTTTTTTTTGTTTTTTTTGGATGGCAGGTGTGAGTTTGGCAGCTTATCAATAAGCCTGAATTTAATGGTGACCTGCACTGTGTGGAAATCTTTCAGACCCATTTAAGAGCCAAAGTGAATGTGAAAGATGGAGAGAGAGAGACTCTATTTGGCAGATGAATCACAGAGGCTCTTAATAACCTTTCGTTTTCAGCATTAAAAGATTCAGTTAAGAAAGCTCTCAAACAATTATGGGTTTGTGTATGTGTCTTCCTGACAGTTGACAGGTCCTTTGCCCACTGTGTGTGTGTGTGTGTGTGTGTGGTATCTCACTGTGCAGCCTGGTCTGAGGTTGAATACAGATTGTGAAATTGACAAGGAGACCAGCCATCAGAATTGCAGACTACCGTTCTATATTATGAACGTGTCATCAGCGTTTTTTCTTTTGACACATATATGGCCTCTGCTCTTACTGCCCTCATTCTGGGTATGCACGGTTACATTTAAAACATCATTATCTCTGACATTTACAGAAACTAGGACATAGGAAGACAGCAGGTGCAGTTCACTCTATGGTTGTTTTACTGTCTCTTTTTCTTCTGGTCCTTCATCCCTGACTGCACACATCTCTTTTAAATGTATCTACAAAGAAAACCATGAAAATATAAACTTTTATTTATCAGTTTCATGTGTTGTACTTGGGAAAAATCATATATGCCACCAATTGGTATAATGTTATTTTGCAGCTCAATGATCATTTTTGCAATGCTGTCTGAAGCCTAGTAAAGTGTGTGTGTGTGTGTGTGTATGTATGTGTATATATATATATATATACC